GATTTTTTGGTTAAAACAATGTGGGTGGGTACGGGTTGGGTCGCAGGTGGGTCAACGGTGGGTCGCGGGTGGGTCGCGGGCCGGGTCGCGGGAGGGTCGCTGGGTGGGTCGCAGGTGAGTCGCGGGTGGGTCGCGGGTGGGTCGGGGGTTGGTCGCGGGGTGGGTCGCGGGTGGGTCGCGGGGTGGATCGCGGGTGGGGTCGCGGGTGGGATGCGGGGTGGGGCGCGGGTGGGATGACGACAACAAACAAAACAACAACGCAACAAGCAGAATCTTCACCACGGGTTCTCACCTTAGCCATGCACCCAGGGACAATGAATGACCGTTCGGCCCCCCTCACTAACATATATATATATATATAATATCACAGTGAGGGGGCTGGACCGAATGGTCATTCGCTGTCCCCGGGTGCGTGGCCGAAGTGGAATTCAGCGACGCGGATTATTATTGTTGTTGTTGTCGTTGTTGTTGTTGTTTGTTGTTGTTGTTGTTGGTGTTGGTGTTGGTGTTGTTGTTGTTTGTTTGTTTGTTTGTTTGTTTGTTTGTTTGTTTGTTTGTTTGTTTGTTTGTTTGTTTTGTTGGTGGTGTTGGTGTTGTTGTGTTTGTTGTTTGTTGTTTGTTGTTTGTTGTCGTCCCGCCCGCGACCCGCGCCCCGCGACCCACCCGCGACCCACCCCGCGACCCACCCGCGACCCACCCGCGACCCACCCCGCGACCCACCCGCGACCCACCCCGCGACCCACCCGTGACCCACCCGCGACCCACCCGCGACCCACCCCGCCCACCCCGCGACCCACCCCGCGACCCACCCCGCGACCCGACCCACCCGCGACCCACCCGCGACCCACCCGCGACCCAACCCACCCGACCCACCCACCCGCGACCCACCCGCGACCCACCCCGCGACCCACCCGCGCCTGCGGCGGGCTTCTTCTGCATTCGTTCCCTGCGACCCACCCGCGACCCAAACCGCGCCCGCGACCCACCGCGACCCGCCTGCGACCCACCCGCGACCCACCCCGCGACCCACCCCGCGACACACCCAAAATTTTCGGCGCCTGCGGCGGGCTTCTTTTGCATTCGTTCGAGGTGGAGACCCTGCGACCCACCCGCGACCCAAACCGCGTTCAGTGTACAAATCAAAATTCTCGGCGCCTTCGGCGGGCTGGTTTCGGAATTCCTTCCAGGTGGAGGTGGAGAACCCGAGACCCACCTGCGACCCAACCTACGTTCACTGAACAAGCCATAACTTCGGCGCCTGCGGCAGGTTGTTTGTGCATTCGTTCTGGGTTGCCCACCAGCGATCCCTCCCGCGCTGCACTGTCAGAGCACGCAAATCACGGGGAAGAGGAGAAGGAGGAGGAGCAGGAGGAGGAGGAGGAGGAGGGCGCCATCGACAAGGAAGGTGAAGGCCACGAGGTCCGCCGGCTCGACGCTCGCGTCGCCCGCGCCCGCCCCCTCACTCGTATCCGCAATTGCGGGGTGCTACGTGTATATCTATGTGTATATATATATGTGTGTATATATATATATATATATGTATCCCGTTTTCTCTCCTTCGATTCGAAAGGTCTCCTCGAGAAACCTGTGGGGCCCATCGCCTCCTCAAAGGCCCCTTCGTCTTAACTCCTCGTCCTCCTCCTCCGTTCGGCGGCGAGCGACGGGGGGAAGTGAGAAGGAGAAGGCCTCCTCAGAAGGTTCAGAAGTTCCCCAGCCTTCTGAGAAATTGTCTACTCCAGATTTCGTAATAAAGGGAGGGGGGTCTCATTTCGGGGGGGGTCTCTTCCAGGATATCTTGGAGGGCCTGGGGGGTCTGGGGACGATGTTTTGGAGGGTTCTCCCACGGGGGAGGTCTGAAATGGCTTGCCTTGGAGGGTCCAGACCCCCTCCCTTTTACTACGAAATCTGGAGTAAGCCTTCCCCGATAACACAGGAACCTACTCAGAGGGCGCGGGGGGGCTTCTGAGATATGTGGTGACTATTGTTGCATAGTCCTCCTGTAGAGGGGCGTGCCCGACGCAATCCTAGAACCGAGCGCCGACCTGGGAGCGAAGGGGCTCTGCTGGCCACGGCAACGCCTCGGCCTCAGAGCGAGGCGCCCCGACCCACACCCAAGGAGCGGCCCACAAGCCAGAGCCCCACCCTGAGCCCAACATGTTCCTCCCAGGCAGTCCAAGAGGCCCCCCCCAAGAGGGCCCCCCCAAACCACCCAAGGAGGCCCCAGCAGTCGCCCACGAGGCCTCCAGGACAGCCCCCAGGGCGCCCCCAGGGCGGCTCCGAGAGGGAGACCAGCTGATTCAGGCGCCTCGGTTCGGGCGCGCGCGAACGTGGAGGAAGGAGTCGTGGCTCTGGCGCGAGAGCACCAGACCCACGGTCCACGGATCGGGGAGTGCGCCCCCCGACACGTGGCGCCATCGCCGCCCGACGTGGCGACGCAGCGCGCCGCTTTTGTAGGGAAGCGGGACCCGCCACCAGTCCACGCGCCTGCATCCGTGTCTGCGTTGCCTCGGATCGGTCGAGAAGCGCAAGGACAGCCTGCCGTGGCGCGAGCGTCCATTCCTCGTGCATCGTTCGGTGTCGTGCTGCTTCTTTCCCAACCATCCTGTGGTGTTGGGTCCTCGTTTTGAAGAGACGGTGCCCCGCGTTCCTCTCCTCTCCTCTCCTCTCCTCTCCTCTCCTCTCCTCTCCTCTCCTCTCCTCTCCTCTCCTCTCCTCTCCTCTCCTCCTCTCCTCCTCTCCTCTTCACCCACCCAGTACACCGCTTCGTGGCTCCATAGGGAGCTCCACCGAAGGCCCCAGTGCCCGCGCCCGCATGCGTCACCCACACCCATTTCGGCACACCCCTCACACGTTTCGTGGCTCCATAGGGAGCTCCACCGAAGGCCCCAGTGCTGCGTCACCGACAGGCCCCATAGTGGCCCCAGTGCCCGCGCCCGCATGCGTCACCCACACCCATTTCGGCACACCCCTCACACGTTTCGTGGCTCCATAGGGAGCTCCACCGAAGGCCCCAGTGCCCGCGCCCGCATGCGTCACCCACACCCATTTCGGCACACCCCTCACACGTTTCGTGGCTCCATAGGGAGCTCCACCGAAGGCCCCAGTGCCCGCGCCCGCATGCGTCACCCACACCCATTTCGGCACACCCCTCACACGTTTCGTGGCTCCATAGGGAGCTCCACCGAAGGCCCCAGTGCCCGCGCCCGCATGCGTCACCCACACCCATTTCGGCACACCCCTCACACGCTTCGTGGCTCCATAGGGAGCTCCACCGAAGGCCCCAGTGCCCGCGCCCGCATGCGTCACCCACACCCATTTCGGCACACCCCTCACACGTTCGTGGCTCCATAGGGAGCTCCACCGAAGGCCCCAGTGCCCGCGCCCGCATGCGTCACCCACACCCATTTCGGCACACCCCTCCCACGTTTCGTGGCTCCATAGGGAGCTCCACCGAAGGCCCCAGTGCCCGCGCCCGCATGCGTCACCCACACCCATTTCGGCACACCCCTCACACGTTTCGTGGCTCCATAGGGAGCTCCACCGAAGGCCCCAGTGCCCGCGCCCGCATGCGTCACCCACACCCATTTCGGCACACCCCTCACACGTTTCGTGGCTCCATAGGGAGCTCCACCGAAGGCCCCAGTGCCCGCGCCCGCATGCGTCACCACACCCATTTCGGCACACCCCTCACACGTTTCGTGGCTCCATAGGGAGCTCCACCGAAGGCCCCAGTGCCCGCGCCCACATGCGTCACCCACACCCATTTCGGCACACCCCTCACACGTTTCGTGGCCCCATAGGGAGCTCCACCGAAGGCCCCAGTGCCCGCGCCCGCATGCGTCACCCACACCCATTTCGGCACACCCCTCACACGTTTCGTGGCCCCATAGGGAGCTCCACCGAAGGCCCCAGTGGCGGCGCTCACATGCGCATGCGTCCCGCACACCCATTTCGGCACATCCCTGACAGGTTTCGTGGCCCCATCATCCACCGGAGGCCCCAGTGGCGGCGCTCACATGCGTCACCCACACCCACCCAATTCGGCACACCCCTCACACGTTTCGTGGCCCCATAGGGAGCTCCACCGAAGGCCCCAGCGGCCGCGCTCACATGCGTCCCCGCCACCCATCCCGGCACGCCCCTCACAACAACAGGTTTCGTGGCCCCATGGGAGCTCCACCGAAGGCCCCAGTGGCTGCCGCCCGCATGCGTCACCACCCGCACCCAATTCGGCACACCCCTCACACGTTTCGTGGCCCCATAGAGAGCTGCACCGAAGGCCCCAGTGGCGGCGCTCACATGCGTCCCCGCCACACATCCCAGTACACCCCTCACGCGCTTCGTGGCCCCATAGGGAGCTCCACCGAAGGCCCCAGTAGCGGCGCTTACATGCGTCTCCGCCACCCATCCCGGCCCCCCCCCCGCAGCAGCATCATGTTTCGGGGACCCATAGGGAGCTCCACTGGAGGCCCCAGTGGCGGCCCGCACATGCGTTTCCGCCACCCATGTCGGCACGCCCCGCGCGTGTTTCATGTCCCCATAGGGAGCTTCGCCGAATGCCCCAGTGGCACCCATCTCGGCACACCCCTCACACGTTCCGCAATCCTATGGGGAGTTCCATTGAAGATGAAACCCGCAGCCGCGGTACCGACAACTGCATATGGTTGGGTTCTTCGCCAGGCTAATTTTTTTCCGAGGATGGCCCAGTGTTGGACCAGATAACAAGCGACACCACCGCACTTACGGCCCCACGGGGCTCAGCGTGTACCAGGACATCTGGCGTGGGCCTCCACGTGGTAGACGCTGCGGCCCCCGATGAGCCCCGTGGCGCAACATGGAGGGCCGTAGGAGGGGTGGTGTCTATTGCTTTTTTTGGCCGAAGTTTGCTCCTCGATGGCCCTCGCCGCGAAAAAATGGCACACGTCCGAGCGGTGCCAAGAGAAGTGCCCCCCCGCCCCTCCGCGGCGGGGCGCTGGGGCGCGCCCGCCCGCGGGCCCTGCCAGGTCTGGCCAGCGCCGCAGCACCTCGCGCACGAAGCGCCGCTCGGAAGGGCGGTGGGCGCGCCCCACGCAGAGCCCGAGCTCGTCCTCGGGGCTCAGCAAAAGAAACGGTACCCCTATACCGCTACCCTTTGCCCGCTTTCCACTGTTTGGGCCCATGGGAGGCCCTCGTCGCCACCGCTGGATTCGCCTCGAAAGCCTGGTCAGGACGCACCCCAGGAGAGGTCCTGGGAGTAGCAGTACTGGTACCTTTTGGCTCCCCCACCGACACGCAGCACGCAACGCGTAACGTGTCGACACGGAGCTCAACACGCACGGCAGGTTCGTGTCGTGCCAGCTTCGGCGTCGGTTCCTGACACCGCGGGGAGCGTTCACCCTTGAACGATCGGCCGCGTCCGAAACGTCAGATCGTTCAACATCGACCGACTCTTGGTCGCCGGTGGCGTTCAACGTTGAACGCCAGCGGCGGGGTCGCCGCCGGTCGACACGACGCGAACCTACCGTAGACCCATGTCTGGACTGAACGCGCAGGTCCGGCGCGAAACGCTCGCCACGACGCGGACCGACACGTGCCGAACCAACACACGCAGCGTTTTCAACACGGACACTTCGAACACGGTGCGCGCTGCGTTTCCACACCGGCGCACCGCGGCAGCTATGAGCTGGGCATCGTTTCGCCGATCCCCAACGCAGGTCTGGCACGATACGCTCGCCACAAAAGGCGAACGGACACGCGCTGAGCCGACACGCCGCGCGTTCACACGGGCGTTTTGAACGCGGTGCGGGCCGCGTCTCCACACGGGCGTAGCACGGCAGCTGAGCTGGGCATCGCTTCACCGATCCCCGTCCCCGCTGGCGCAGCCTTGGCCCCACTGGCCGACCTACCCCCCCTTGAAGGGGAGGCGTGATCCAAGGTCGAGGGTTCACGCCCCCCTCTAGATGGGATGGGTCACAGGGCTCCACGGCCCCCCCGCCCCCCCACTGGGATGAGGGGAGCGACGACGACGACCACGACGGAAGACGACGACGACGACGACGACGACGACGACGACGACGACGACGACGGATGACGACGACAATGACGACGACGACGACGACGACGATCACGACAACGACCACGACGACGACAACGACGACGTCATCGACCACGACCACGACCACGACCACGACCACAACGACGACGACGACGACGACGACGACGACGACGACGACGACGACGACGACGGCGCCGCAGCACCACCCCACGCCCACAGCGGGGTGGGTGGATTGTCCACCACGCCACGCCCACAGGTGGGGGGGGCCCATCGCGCGGAGGGGTGGGGCCTAAGGCATCAGCATGGGGAGGGGCCGGAGCCCTGGCTCGTATTTCTGATCCCGTCGGGTTTCGCGGGGGCCGTCTCCGCTGAGATCCGAAGTTGCGAGGCAGATGCAATATCGCCGAGAGAAACGACGACCAGGTCGATCGTTCTGCTGCATTTTTCGAGCCACACCGACATGCGGTGGTCCTGGGGCCCAAAACTGGACGAAAACGCCTGGTGTAAGAAAAGTGCAACTCCCTAATCTTTGAGTAGGAGGGTGGTCTGGTGGGGCTGAGATACCATGGCACAATGGGGATGGGGATAGGTTCCCTCGTGCAGACCACGAAAGGTTCTTAGAACGCTCGTTGGTGGGCCTATATCGGCAAGCTGGGACGCTTCGCCAGAGCTTGATACGAGGAGGCGCCAGGACATCTGGGGAGACATCATGGCCCCCGCCAGGATATCCACGCCCCCTAGTCACCACCCCCCTCTTGGCCGCCCCCGACGCCTGCGACAGACTTGGATGCTCATTCTGGGGAACTGCCTCGAGACACTCGATCCACTTGTGCGTCGGAGCTGCGTCGAACGTCCGTCGCCTTGAACCGACCTTGACTCGAACCTGAGTCGAACCTGAGTCGAACTTGAGTCGAATTTGAGTCGAACTGGGGTCGAACTAGAGTCAAACAGATCCGTTCGGTGGGCCCCAGGAAGGTCCCCCGAACGATCATGTAAACTTCGGTCGGGCATGTCCCATACAGGCGGATCGCGAAGGAAAAACAAACCCCACAGTCAAGACGTGCTCAAGAATCATCGGAACAATGGCAGAGAAACCGCCCCCAGACCATTATTCTACCAGTTTACTAGTTTTGAGCGTTCCCCCCGTAGAGGGACACGCCCAGTCGGGAGCGGCCAAGAGGGGGGGGGTGTCCACGAGGGGGGGGTGCAGTTCATGACCGGAGGCACGTGCGCGGCCCAGCGGGGGGGGGCCAGGGACGTAATGAAATAAGAAGCGGCGCCATGAGATCTGGGGAAATATCACGGGCCCCCGCCATGATATCCACCCCCCCTAGTCATCACCCCCCTCTTTTCCGCCCCCGACCCAACTTAAATCATGACATACTCATAAAAACTCTGAGGTCCGCGCGGATTTCTCGGATCGGCGCTGGACCCCCCCTCCCTGGCGCGCGGAGCGCACCAGGGGCGGCGCCGGAGGCACTGCCCGGGGGCCCCAGCGCCGATCCGAGAAATCCGCGCGGACCTCCGAGATTTTATGTCTACTAGTATGTCACTTGTCGTTCCCCTATTTAGAGGGACTCGCCCAACTGGGGACTATGGTTTAAAACATATTCTTAGACCTTTGTGGGGGTATGTTTGGAGGTTTATTTCCCAACCATCCTGTGGTGTTGGGTCCTCGTTTTGAAGAGACAGCGCCCCGCGTCTCCTCTCCTCTCCTCTCCTCCTCCTCCTCCTCCTCTCCCCCCTCCTCCCTCCTCCCATCGCCGTCATCATACTCATCGTCATCATCATCATCATCATCATCATCATCATCATCATCATCATCATCATCATCATCATCATCATCATCATCATCATCATCGTCATCATCATCATCATCATCATCATCATCATCATCATCATCATCATCATCATCATCATCATCATCATCATCATCATCATCATCATCCTCGTCATCATCACCACCAGCATCATCATCGTCATCATCATCGCCATCGCCATTAGTTCCCAACCATCCTGTCATCATCACCACCAGCATCATCATCGTCATCACCACCAGCATCATCATCGTCATCATCATCATCATCATCATCATCATCATCATCATCATCATCATCATCATCATCATCATCATCATCATCATCATCATCATCATCATCATCATCATCATCATCATCATCATCGCCATTTAGTTCAGATTTCCGCACACCCCTCACACGTTTCGTGGCCCCATAGGGAGCTCCACCGAAGGCCCCAGTGGCAGGGTTCGCATGCCGCCCCCACCCCACTTTGGCACACCCCTCACACGTTTCGTGGCCCCATAGGTAGCTCCACCGAAGGCCCCAGTGGCAGGGTTCGCATGCCGCCCCCACCCCACTTTGGCACACCCCTCACACGTTTCGTGGCCCCATAGGTAGCTCCACCGAAGGCCCCAGTGGCAGGGTTCGCATGCCGCCCCCACCTCACTTTGGCACACCCCTCACACGTTTCGTGGCCCCACAGGGAGCTCCACCGACGGCCCCAGTGGCAGGGTTCGCATGCCGCCCCCACCCCACTTTGGCACACCCCTCACGCATTTCGTGGCCCCATAGGTAGCTCCACCGAAGGCCCCAGTGGCAGGGTTCGCATGCCGCCCCCACCTCACTTTGGCACACCCCTCACGCGTTTCGTGGCCCCATAGGTAGCTCCACCGAAGGCCCCAGTGGCAGGGTTCGCATGCCGCCCCCGCCCCACTTTGGCACACCCCTCACACGTTTCGTGGCCTCATAGGGAGCTCCACCGAAGGCCCCAGTGGCAGGGTTCGCATGCCGCCCCCATCTCACTTTGGCACACCCCTCACACGTTTCGTGGCCCCATAGGGAGCTCCACCGACGGCCCCAGTGGCAGGGTTCGCATGCCGCCCCCACCCCACTTTGGCACACCCCTCACGCATTTCGTGGCCCCATAGGGTGCTCTACCGAAGGCCCCCGTGGCAGGGTTCGCATGCCGCCCCCACCCACTTTTGCACACCCCTCACACGTTTCGTGGCCCCATTGGGAGTTCCACCGACGGCCCCAGTGGCAGGGTTCGCATGCGTCCGCGCCACCCATGTCGACACACCCTTGACACGTTTCGTGGCCCCATAATGAGCTCCACCGAAGGCCCCAGTGGCAGAGTTGGCATGCCGCCCCTCGCCCATTTCGGCCCACCCCTCACACGTTTCGTGGCCCCATAGGGAGCTCCACCGAAGGGGCCCCAGTGGTTGCGTTCGCATGCGTCCCCACCACCCATTTCGGCACACCCCTCATACGTTTCGTGGCCCCATAGGGAGCTCCACCGAAGGCCCCAGTGGCTCCCCACCACCCATTTCGGCACACCCCTCACACGTTTCGTGGCCCCATAGGGAGCTCCACCGAAGGCCCCAGTGGCTGCGTTCGCATGCCTCCCCACCACCCATTTCGGCACACCCCTCACACGTTTCGTGGCCCCATAGGTAGCTCCACCGAAGGCCCCAGTGGCAGGGTCCGCATGCCTCCCCACCACCCATTTCGGCACACCCCTCACACGTTTCGAGGCCCCATAGGGAGCTCCACCGAAGGCCCCAGTGGCGCGGTGCCTATGAGACGAGGGGCCCAATTTGCGTGCCCCCTCCTTCGTCTCATATCCGCAGTACTCGCAGCTGCATATGGCTGGGTCCTTCGCCAGGCTAATTGTTCTTTTTCGTCGACAGTCCCCCTGCAGGGGGACAGGCCCGACGTAAATTTCAACGGACGCCGCTTTGGTGGCCCCCAAACCAGGTGGTGAGACACCCGGTGGTGACCTGAAATCCCAAAAACGTAATTTCTAGGTTTGGGGACACAAGGTCACCACCGGGTTTTGTGATTCCCGGGACCACCCGCGCTCGAGACATCCGACATCCTCGAAACACCACCCGAGTTCCAAAACCCGGTGGTGACACCAATTCGCCCCAGACTCACCACCGGGTGTTTTCACCACCACGTTTGGGGACCCCCGACTGCCGCTCCTCGGGCCCCGCGCAGCCCGGGAAGCGGCGGCACTGCGCCGCGCCGCCAGGCAGGCGCGCGCAGACCTCCTCCGTGAGCGGCCGGCCCTCGGCCTCGGGCGGCCCGCCGGCCCCGACGGCGCCGGGCGGCGTCGGCGGGCCACCGCAGCGACGAGGCGGCTACAGGGCAGGCTTTGATACATGGGATATTTAAGATATAGGAATTTGTAATACATGCACGATTTAATACATAGTATTTCCCAACCATCCCGTGGTGTTGGGTCCTCGTTTTGAAGAGACGGTGGCCCGCGTCTCCTCTCCTCTCCACTCCTCCCCCTCCTCTCCTCCTCCCCTCTCCTCCCTGCGTTTCACCCACCCAGTACAGCGTTTCGTGGCCCCCATAGGGAGCTCCACCGAAGGCCCCAGTGGCAGCGTTCGCATGGCGTCCCCGCCCCATTTCGGCACACCCCTCACGAGGATCGTGGCCCTATAGAAAACTCTACCGAAGGCCCCAATGGCCGCGTTCGCATGGCGGCCCCGCCCCATTCCGGCATACCCCTCACGAGGATCGTGGCCGCATAGAGAGCTCCACCGAAGGCCCCAGTGGCCGCGTTCGCATGGCGGCCCCGCCCCATTCCGGCATACCCCTCACGAGGATCGTGGCCCCATAGGGAGCTCCACCGAAGGCTCCAGTGGCTGCGTTCGCATGGCGGCCCCGCCCCATTTTGGCGCACCCCTCACAAGGATCGTGGCCCCATAGGGAGCTCCACCGAAAGCCCCAGTGGCCGCGTTCGCATGCCGGCCCCGCCCAATTTCGGCATACCCCTCACGAGAATCGTGGCCCCATAGGGAGCTCCACCGAAGGCCCCAGTGGCCGCGTTCGCATGGCGGCCCCGCCCCATTTCGGCGCACCCCTCAAGAGGATCGTGGCCCCATAGGGAGCTCCACCGAAGGCTCCCAGTGGCTGAGTTCGCATGGTGGCCCCGCCCCATTTTGGCGCACCCCTCAAGAGGATCGTGGCCCCATAGGGAGCTCCACCGAAGGCTCCAGTGGCTGCGTTCGCATGGCGGCCCCGCCCCATTTCGGCGCACCCCATCACTAGGATCGTGGCCCCATAAGGGAGCTCCACCGAAGGCCCCAATGGCAGCGTTCGCATGGCGGCCCCGCCCCATTTCGGCACACCCCTCACGAGGATCGTGGCCCCATAGGGAGTTCCATCGAAGGCCCCAGTGGCAAGGTTCGCATGGCGGCCTCGGGCCATTTCGGCACACCTCTCACGAGGATCGTGGCCCCATTGGGAACTTCACCGACGGCCCCCAGTGGCAGGGTTCGCATGGCGGCCTCGGGCCATTTCGGCAAACCCCTCATGAGGATCGTGGCCCCATAGGAGCTCCACCGAAGGCGCCAATGGCAGTCTCCCTCATGGCTCTCAGAACCCTTTCCTGCTTCTGCTCTTCGGTCAGGGGGACGTCGTCCTCGTGGTCGTCGGCGCCCGCGAAGACGGCCACAAACGTGTCCCTGAGCATGTCGGGCTCCGGCGGGAAGCCGTGGCCACATAGGGAGCGCGGGCGAAGATAGTATTCACAATTGCTGTATCCACAATTGCGTATGGTCGGGTCCCTCACCAGGCTAATTTTACACATAATTCATTTATGAATAAAGTAATGCATAAACTCGTCCTTGTGTTTATTAATCATCCCTGTATGTTAAACACATGATCCGCACGCGGAGCATGTCTCAAAAACGGCACTGTACACTCAGGTCGGGCGTGTCCCCCTGCAGGCGGATTTTAGGGGAAAGATAAAAAGCAGTCGAGACATATCAAACAAACAATTAGAAAGATAATCGAAAAATCATCCCCAGACTGCTTTCGACCAGTTTTGAAGACTCCGCCTGTAGAGGGACACGCCCGACTCCAAGCTCCACGCAGGAGCGAGCATTGGCAAGAGTTGAGACGAAGCCAGGACGAGGAGAACATCAGCCGAGGATAAATCGAGAATCTTCTGGAGGATGTCTTGGGCGCCGCGGCCGTGCCGGAGCCTTCCGGAACGCTCTGAGAGCGCTCTGGAACGCTCTGGACCGGACTTGTCCTCGCCCTAGCCCCGCCTGAAGAGTGACCTCTGGTGCGCGTCTTTCGGGGGCCGCGAGAGAGGGGCCAAAAGGTATGTCGGGCGTGTCCCCCTACAAGGGGATTTTCGACGAACAATAAAAAAAAACAAAAAAGGTCCTGAAAAAATAGTCCCCAGACTATTTTCGGATTATTTTTGTTACTAGTTCTGCGGTATCTTTTATTCTTCGTCGAAAGTCCCCCTGTAGGGGGACAGGCCCGACTTGAGCCAAAAGACGAGCGTGCAGGCCGGCACCGGGGGGACCCCAGTGAGCCCGCACCAGAGGTCACTCCAGCGAAAGATCGCTCTCACGCGTAGCCCATCGTGGGCCTGTCCCCCTACAGTGAGATTTTCGACGAAAAATAAAAAATATACCCCAAGTGCCCCAACATGGCCAAAACATATTCAAAACATAGTCCCCAGACCATTTTTGGATTATTTTTTAGAAATATTTTCGGGTGTTTGTTTTATTCTTCGTCGAAAACCCCACTGTAGGGGGACAGGCCCGACTTAAGCGGGGATGGACAGACCTCCCTTTAGTAAAACGCGGTTTAGTGAAAACGACCCGAGGCCCAAACCTGGCGGGCGCAACCCTGAAAAATCACGACCGCGGCGCCCTCTCGAGAACCGAAAACGGACAATTCACTAATCGACGTGTCACTGACTACCTACCAGACCACCCCAACCCAACCCGAAGACCCGAATTTCGGGTTGGGGGGGGTATGGGCTCCATATGTGTTTTTTCGATGTTCCGGGACCCCCCCCCACTAGAAATCGAGGGTAAATCAGACCCTTCGGGTTGGGTTGGGGTGGTTTGGTGGGTGGAGAGTCACTGTTGGGGGTTCTGTCCATCCCCGACGTAGCCCATCGTGGGCCCGGCCCATCCCGGGCCCATCGGGCCCGCTGTGCACCCGGACCTCCGGCCACAATCGTGGGAGCGGCGGCCGGAAGCGGACCTCGCGCGAGGCGCCAATTTGGCGGCCTCGCGCCGCGGCCTCCGCGGGCCGCCCGCGCGGAGCGCTGCGCTGGAGAGAGGAGGGCCCTCCCCCTTCTCCTCCTCCTCCTCCTCCTCCTCCTCCTCCTCCTCCTCCTCCTCCTCCCCCTCCTCCTCCTCCTCCTCCTCCTCCTCCTCCTCCTCTTCCTCCTCCTCCACCTCCTCCTCCTCCTCCTCCTCCACCTCCTCCTCCACGGGGGGAAGCTCCCGCGCGAAGAACCTCGGGTCGGGCGTGTCCCCCTGCAGGCGAACTTTTTGGGTGAAAATGGACACACACATACCCCCCAAGAGGCTCCAAAAATCATCGGGAGCAGTCCCCTGGCCATGCTTGGACTATTCCTTCGAACTTTTTGGGTGAAAATGGACACACACATACCCCCCAAGATGCTCAAAAATCATCGGGAGCAGTCCCCTGGCCATGCGTGGACTATTCCCTCGCGCTCCCCCCGCAACGGGACACGCCCGACTGAGGACCGGCCCCGCTCTCTGCTGCCGCCCGTCTGTTCGTGTCAGCCCGGGCGGCTTGCCTCCGTGGCGGCCTCTGGTAGGGGGCCAGATGCGAGCCCTACCCCTACCCCCCCCCCCGATTGCTGCGGGGGAGGCCGAGCCTTGCTTTGGGGACTTCAGAACCTGGTGCGGCCCGACCTTTGCATGGCGTTGCTGTGCATCCTGGCACGGCGCAGACAAATCGATTCGATTCCCACTCCGTGCCAATGCGGCCTGGTCCGACGCACGTTTCAATTCGATCCGGTGTCCCAACTCGATGTTGGTTGGTCTTGCTGTTTCGTTTGGAAGTGAACCCCACCCTCCCCCTCAGAAATCGGGGGGGGGGTAGGGGTAGGGCTCGCATCTGGCCCCTTGTGTTCGTTTCCGCCCGGGCGGCTCTCCTGCGTGGCGGCCCCTGGCGGCCTCCGCTGCCGGGCTCCGGGACCCGCTGGAGCGGACCCTAGGGACGCGAAAGTGCCTCTGGGAAACGGGGGCCGCGGCCCGCCAAGGGCCCCTTCGGGGGACGCCTGCGCACGCACCCCCCGGGCTTTGCCGGGCAGGTGTGCACACCGGATGCCCTCCCTCGGGGAACGAGGCACGACAGAAGCACAAAAGCTCGGAGGTCCGCGCGGATTCCTCGCATCGGCGCGGGACCGCCGTGGCGGCGCCTCCGGCGCCGCCCCTGGACGCGCTCCGCGCGCCAGGGAGGGGGGTCCAGCGCCGATGCGAGAAGTCCGCGCGGACCTCCGAGATTTCGTGCTTACGTAAAACAGGGCTAGGATCGGGATAAATCGCTCCAGAGCGTTCCGGAGCGCTCTCAGAGCGTTCCGGAACGCTCTGGAGCGGCCGCGGCGCCCAATACATCCTCCAAACCCGCCGATCCTCAGAGATTTCGAGTTATCCCGATCCGATTTTGTCCCGATCTTCGCGTCGTTTTATTACGTCATTCCTCGTTCCCCCCATTCGATCCCATAGGCCCAGCATCGGACCCGCCAGGATTCGTGAGAGGTGGTCGGCCGGCGCCGCCCGCGATGCTGTGGACGTGCAGCCCCGTGTCGTGGAGACGGGGGAGCCCAGAGAGCTTCACACGAGCATTATCGTGAGCGGCGCAGAGGGGGGTGTCCAAGAGGGGGGGGTGCAAATCATGACCGGCGGCATGTGCGCGGCCCAGCGGGGGGGCCAGGGACGTAATGAAATAAGAAGAGGCGCCATGAAATCTGGGCAAAAATCATGGCCCGCGCCATGAAATCCACCCCCCCCTAGTCATCACCCCCCTCTTTTCCGCTCCCGACATTAGGTCGGGCAGGTCCCCCCACGGGCGAGCTTCTGGGCGAGAGCAAAAACATAGAATCAGCAAAAAATTGTAGAACGTTCGCCCCCCGACAGCGTCTGTCAATCTGTGTAAGTTTTTGACCGCGCGGCTCTCTTGGACCCGCGCCCGACACCCCTCGCTGGCGCGCGGAGCGCGCCGGGGAGGGCGCCAAGAGGCGCCGCCAGGGGGGGGCCCAGCGCGGCCCAAGAAATACGCGCGAAGCGCCAAACAGTTTATGTGTATGGCGCTTTTGAAGGGGCCCTGGGACACACAAATAAATACACACAAATAACCGGAGGTCCCATACTTTCCCATATTTTCTGGGTTTTTGTCTTTCCCCCCACTTCCCATATTTTCTGGGGAGTCGTCGAGTAGTTGTGTCTGTGTGGTTTTTCCCCTCCTGAGCTTTCTCCTTCCAACATGCGCTGTGACGTACCGAGAGCCCATCTGCAACGTGTGCCAACAGGAGCGGGCCCATGCCAGACGAACGAACCCCTCCCCCACCAGAGCCGCCCACCCCTGGGCGGCGCCCTCTTCGGTACCCCGTCTCGGCGCCGACCGCGCGCCCAGAGAGTCGAGAGGGAACGTTGGGGGGGACCGGCTCAGGGGGCAGAGCATCGAGCCGGAAACCACTGTCCGGGGGCGTCCGACCTATGTCAATGCTCGTGTGGCTCTCTGGCTCCCCGGGACGGCCACGATGGCAGTAGGGCTCAGCCGTGGGAGCACGCGCTCGAACGCGCGGAGGCTGTACTCGACCAGGTGGCCCGCGTCGAAGAGGACGACGTCGATGACTCGGAACTCCACGTCCCGAGGCTCGAAGTCCGTCTGGCTCTTCTGCACGAACGCGAAGCGGGGGTCGGTGTCCTCTATGGATCTGACGACCGGGTGCGCCACGATGTCGAAGCTAAACACCCGCGCGTCTGGGTCGTCCGCCACGGCGTGGAGCCAGTTCGAGGAGCTGAAGCCAGCAGCCGTGCCAAACTCCAGGATGGTGCGCGGGCGGGTGGCACGCACGAGGCCGTAGAGGAGGAGCGCCTCCGATCTCATCGGTTGGCCGGTCCCCTGCCCCAGAGGCATGGCCCTGGCCCCACAGGCAGACCCAGAGATCCAACGCATTGAAGACATCACGACGGACATTTTTCATAGCTTTCGGCCTGTAGAGGCCCTCGCCGGGCCTCGGGATCGTCAAAAAACGACTCGGGATGAAACCCCGGCCCTGGGGAATGGGTCGAGACTTCTGGGGACCCCGTAATGAAAAAATCACGACATCGGATCTCTGGCAGACGTACCCTCCAGGTGAAGGCATACACACTGGGCACATACAATGAGAAGTCTTGCTGTAACAACTGTAAAGGGGCCCCAGAACACACAAATAAATCCACACAAATAAAAAGATTCCCCATATTTCCCGATATTTTCTGGAATTTTGTCTTCCCCACCACTTCCCATATTTTCCACATTTTCTGGGGAATCGACGATTAATTGTGTCTGTGTGTTTCTTTCCTTCCTGAAACTGGTGGGCCATGTGCTTCGTCGATCTCCAGGGGCCCCGAGGTGCCCCAGTGCGCTATCCGGGTGCCGGGGGCCGCCGGGGGGCGAGAAAGCTCCGCGCGGCACGTGCAGCCTGGCCAAGCTCTCCGTTTACACAAGCCCACTGTGTGCTGTTCTCGTCAGGGTTGGCGGGACCCATCTCGGGTCGGGCGAAAGGGGGGGATAGCGAAGGGGGGGGTTGAGAATCAGCTCGCGTAGCTGATTTTCCCGGCGCCTCCCGGCGCCGGAGGCGGCCATGTATCGAGGAATGGGCCCCTCGGTGAGGCCGAAACTAGCTGCGTGCAGCAAATTTCGTAACCCCCCCTTTCCCAATCCCCCCCTTTCGCCCGGCCCGAGCTGTTCTCTTCAGGGTTGGCGGGACCTATCCACACCTGGTCGGGGGGAGCTGGTGGGGCTGAGGTGCCATTGGCCCAGTGGGGGCGGGGATCCGCCAGACGATGCCGAGCCTCGTCGTCCTGCAGCGGGCCCAGGTTCGGCGGGTTGCCGCGCCGCAGGTGCGGCAGCTCGTAGTGCGGCTTGTCTGGCGCTCCGAAGCGCGCCCCAGGCGCCCTCCGAGAGGCCGTGAGCGAGCAGCAGCGCCCGAACGTGAACTTGCTGTCCCAGCACTCGGGGTTCCCGCCTCCCCGGTCGGACGAAGGGGGGGGGGGCCGGTGAAGCGCAGGCTGGCGAGTCAGCCCACGCAGCCGACCATCTCTAGGTCGGGCGTGTCCTCCTCCAGGCGGACTCCGGAGGAGAATCCGAAGATACCCAAACAAACAAACAAACAAACAAAAGCAAAATGAATCGACGACTCGCCCCCAGACTGCTCTTCGACGGCTCGATGGATACTCCTCCCGCAGAGGGGACACGCCCGACCGGAGACCACCTCCCTGCAGCCTCCCGGCGCCAGAGGCGCCCCCCTGCAGCGCGAGGGAAAAAGCGCCCGGCGCCGGGGCCGAGCCCGGCTGCCGGGCGGCAGCTTCCGTCCCCGTCTTTGCCTGCACCCCGGGGAACGAATGATGGCATAACCAATTTCAAAACTGTGCGCTCTGATTTCTGGCATTTCGAATCTATATGAAGAATATACAAAACACGTGAACGTAAAAAAACAGGAAGATTGTGGCTCTGACTTCTTGGATCGACGCCGGACCCCCCTCCCTGGCGCGCGGAGCGCGCCAGGGCTGGCGCCAGAGGCGCCGCCAGGGGACTCCAGCGCAGATGCGAGAACTCCGCGCAGATCTACGGCAGTGTACAGCAGGAGCTCGACCATTAGGAACCTTCCACGAGAAACCCAACCCTGAGACGCCAGGGCGTCCACTGATTATGGTGTGGGAACATCACGCTTTCCATAGCAACACCATCGAGAAGCCCAAGAAGCCCACTGCACCCTGGAGGCAGGCAGGGCGCTTCTTGGCCTGGGCTCCCACTGCACGTGTACGTGTGTTTCCTCGATGCCCCCCGCCCCCCCCCACCCCTCTCGTCCGACCCTATAGCCTCTGCTGCCCGTGGCACAGCAGCTCTCGAACGTGAACCCGCCCCTCCAGCACGCGGGGTTGCCCCCTGGAACCACCGGCTCCTCGAGCTCCTCCGCTCCCGTGCCGCCCGCCGCCGCAGGCGCCGCGGCCCCCTCCTCCTTCGTCGGGGCCCCAAGACGGTGTGGTGACGGACGGGGTGCTGACGTCGGAATCCCCAACCACCTCACCGCACGGTCCATCACCGCAGGGCTTTGGGGACCTCGGAGGCCCCAGCCGCTCGAGGCATCCTCGGAGAGCGACTCGAGCCTCAAATCCAAAAAAAAACCACTTGGTGACCCCGAAGCCCCACTGACTCACCACGCAGTGTGGTCACCACACCCTGGACGCCCGAGTCATCTGGGATACCTGCGGTCTGGGGTAACTCCAGTTTGGGCCTCCGAGGCACGAGCCCGTAGCTACCCCTGACTGCCCCCAGCCCCGACGTTCGGGAAGGTTGGACGTCCGAGTTATCCGGGATAGCTGCGGTCCGGGGTGACTCCAGTTTGAGCCCCCGAGGCGCGAATCTGTAGCTACCCCTCGCTGCCCCTAGCCCTGATTCGAGAGCTCTGAACACCGTCTGGAAACCTCCGATCCTCCACGGGCTCGTACCAAAGGCGGACGGCGTACGTCCGGTTCTCGAGGCCGACCCAATCGATGTTCGGCCCCTTCTGAGGAGCAAAAAACAGCATAAACATATCACTCGACGCGAGGACCCTCCTATGTGCATCTGGTTTCCTAGCACGTCCCGCTGTGAGTGTCTGGCTGTGAGTGCCTGGGTGTGAGAGCGAGTCCGAATGGACGACGGGTGCGTCGACGACGGCGGCGGCGGCCACGGTGAGGGGCAACGCCGACCACGACGATAGCAACTCACATACAGACAGGCGGTGAACAGACGGTTGCCCTTTCCTTCCTCGTATTGCCTGTCGTACAGCCGGACCTGGGACAGAAGAACACCCTCCAACAACGCGAGACACTCCTGGGGCCAAGCTAAAAACCTTGGAGGGCACCCTCCCCCGGGGTGCACGAGAACATCCGACAGGCACGAAGAACACATTCGAGGGTGCCCTCCCCGAACCGACTTCGATCGCATACCTCGGGCCTATCGTACACCATCCCTTCTCTCCTTCCTTCCTCCTTTTCCTCCTCCTCCTCCTCCTCCTCCTCCTCCTCTTCCTCCTCTTCCTCCTCATCCTCCTCATCCTCCCCCTCCTCCTCCTCCTCCTCCTCCTTCTCCTCCTCCGCATCCTCCACTTCCTCTTCCCCTTCCCCCTCCTCCTCCTCCTCCTCCTCCTCCTCCTCCTCCTCCTCCTCCTGCTCCTCCCCGTGGTCGGAGGCAGGTGGAGATGCCACGCCCGCGGCGAGTTCACGCCCAGCCCGGCGCGGGAGCAGGCCTGCGCCCGCCCGCGTCTGTCCCTTCCCCCCTCCCTGGCGGCGACGGCGCCGAACACGGCTGGGGTCTCTGCATTGAAGGGGCCCCAGGACACCCAAATAAATGCACACAACTGAAAAGAGTCCCCATATTCTTCCATATTTTTGGGGTGTTCGTCTTCCAACCCACTTCCCATATTTTCCTGCATTTTCCCGGGATCGACGACTAAATGTGTCTGTGTTTTTCCCCTCCTGATGCATGTCGTGCGTCGGGGGAGGCCTGGGCCGGCGACAGACGAGTGGACCCCGGCCGCCAGGTCTGGAAGCGGAGTGCAGAGAGTGTGATGCTCTGTATGCTGGGTGGCTTCGCTGCCGGCATGGATGGCAGACACTCAGAGAAGAAGTGCCCACCCCTGCGGTCCAAGAGAGGACACCAGAACCTTGCTCGTTTTTCTCAGGGGAGGAGGAGGAGGAGGAGGAGGAGGAGGAGGAGGAGGAGGAGGAGGAGGAGGAGGAGTGAGGAGGAGGAGGGGGGGGGGAGGGAGGAGGAGAGGAGGGGGAGGAGGAGGAGGAGGAGGAGGAGGAGGGGGAGGAGGAGGAGGAGGGAGGAGGCGACTCGGAGGACCTGCAGTTCGGTGGATGCCTGCGGTGCTGGAGAGAAGTGGGCTCCCGCAGGCCGAGCGTGTCGCCTCGGCTGCGCAGGGACGGAGGTCCCTGTCGGCTGACTCCCCGGTGGCATCCTCCCGCTCCTCCCGCTCCTCCTCCTCCGAGCAGTGGACCACCAAAAAAAATACGAGTCCGAGGCGCCGAAAGATGCAAACCGCTCCTTCCCGCTCCTCCTCCTGCTCCTCCCGCCCCTCCCGCTTCCCCCCGGTTGCCTCCTCCTGCTCCCTCCCGCTCCCCCTCCTCCGAGCAGTGGACCACCAAAAAAAATATGAGTCCGAGGCGCCGAAAGAGGCAAACGGCTCCTTCCCGCTCCTCCTCCTGCTCCTCCCGCTCCTCCCGCTCCCCCCGGTTGCATCCTCCTGCTCCTCCCGCTCCCCCTGCTCCGAGCAGTGGACCACCAAAACAGATGAGTCCGAGGCGCCGAAAAAGGCAAACGGCTCCTTCCCGCTCCTCCTCCTGCTCCTCCCGCTCCTCCCGCTCCCCCCGGTTGCATCCTCCTGCTCCTCCCGCTCCCCCTGCTCCGAGCAGTGGACCACCAAAACAGATGAGTCCGAGGCGCCGAACAAAGCAAACCGCCTGAGACGTCCCCACAAGCTGGGCAGGAATCGTAGTGCCCCCATCCCTGGAGGCTGCCCCCCGCGGGGGCCCAAGTGCCACACCTGCTATATCGCGGTGAACATTGGATCACCAAACAGATGAGTCCGAGGCGCTGAAACAAGCAAACCGCCTGCGGCATCCCCTCAATATGACAAGAATCATGGTGTGTCCCCATCCCTGGCGGCTGCCCGTTGTACCGTAGTGCCAAAATGCCAGACCTGCTATATCGCGGCGGTGAACATTGGACCACCAAAACAGATGAGTCGGAGGCGCAGAAACAAGCAAACCGCCTGAGACGTTCCCACAATTTGGGCACGAACTATGGAAGTGCCCCCATCCCTGGAGGCTGCCCCTGGGGGTGCCCAAATGCCAGACCTGCTATATCGCGGTGAACATTGGACCACCAGAACACATGAGTCCGAGGCGCCGAAACAAGCAAACAACCTCAGACATTCCCACAATCTGAGCGCAATCATTGAATGGTCCCGCCCCTGGCGGCTCCCCTTTGGGGTGCCCAAGTGCCGCGCCGGCTATGTCACGGTGGGCACTGGACCACGAAAGGATTGGAGACCTGGGCGCCGAACAAGCAACCCACTTGAGACGTCCCCATAATCTGAGCTGGCACCTGGGAGTGGCCCCATCCCTGGCGGCTGGCCTGTCCAGTGCCAACACGCCACACATACCAGATTGCAGTGAGCAGTGGATCGCCAAAAAATATGAGTCGGAGGCGCCGAAACAATCAAACCGCGAGAGACTTCCCCACAATGTGGGCGCGAATCATGGAGTGTCCCCACGCTCGGCGGCTGCCCCTTGGGGTGCTCAAGTGCCGCACCTGCTATATCGCGGTGAGCAATGGACCACCGACACAAAAAGCGAGTCTGAATGTGAGTGACTCTGAAGCTGAGAATCAGTATGCGTGTGATTGAATCCGAGAGAGTGGATCGGAGTGTGAGTGACTCTGAGTATGAGTGAGCCTGAGTGTGAGCGAATCAGAGCACAAGTGGCTCTTAAGACTGAGGAATGGATGAGAATGCTTGTGAGTGAATCTGAGTATGAGTGCAAACTAATATACGCGTCAGTGATCTGAATGCGAATGACCCAGTGTGTATGAACGGGTATGAGTGGGAGCGCGACGTAGTGTAAGTAAATCTGAGTTTGAGTGGGTCTGAATGCGAATGCGAACAATCCCGTCTCGGGACATATATATATATCTATACTTTATATATATATATGTACATACATATGTATGGATCTGTACACACGTACATACATACAAACATGCATAAATTCATCAATCCATCCATTCATACATACATACCGACATGCATAGACACAATTATACAGATATGCATACATACATACATACATACATACATACATACATCCATACATACATACATAGATACATAGATACATAGGTACATACATGCATGCATGCATGCATGCATACATACATCCATACATACATACATGCATACATACATACATACATACATACATACATACATACATACATACATACATACATACATATACATACACACATACACGCATACATACATACAGTCATACCTACATACCCACATACCTACATACCTACATACCGACATCTCTACATACCTACACACCTACATACATACATACATACATACCTACCTACCTACATACATACATACATACATCTATACATATATCTACAGACATACACACAGCTGCAACCTCGGCCCAAGCGAAGCAGCAGGCAGCGTTCAGAAGGCCCCGTAGACACTCGCGCCTTCCCGCTACCCTCCACCCGCCTCAGACGAGTGAATGCAAGCCGTGGAGGGGGTCAATGAGGTTTCTCTTACGAGTGGCGGTTTATAACCCATTGTCTCTTATTCAGACCTCCCGCCTAGAGGAGATTGCAAAGGTTATGGATGTTGACCTGCTGATATTAAATGGCACGAGGGTCCGAGAGTGGCAGGATTGGCTTTATCATGTGCAGAACTTACCCGAACGACGGACAGCGATTCATTTTGGATGGAAGAGATCACCATATGTGACGAATTGTGCGGGCACATGCATCGTGATGGGACAACGGTTGAGACGGCAACATATCGCACCAATTCAGCCTGGACCAAAGGGATTGGAGGGACGAGCAGGCGATGTACGGATGAGATCTGGCTCTTTTGACATAATGGCGATATCTGGCTACCCTCCACCCTTGTACGAGACGGGCGCCGCGAAGAAGGCACAGATGAAGAGCATCAATATGACGATGGACTACATTCAGCAGCGCATTTCGAGTACGCCCTCACGATGCACACCAATTGGAGGATTTGATAGTAATTCCGGATTTGGATTGGAACAGACATCGGACACCCAGTGCGACCCAGACGAATGCAATGTTGGAGCTTACCACTTGACAAACCAAACAAAAAAACGGACAGGCAGGACACCGACTATATGAGATCATTTCCTCTTACGACATGGCATGTTTGAGCTCTTACCACCCATCGGCAGGACCAACCTACTTCGGCATGAACGGTGAGACCAACACGATCGACGTGGCCATTATCCCGACAACCCTGCTAAATGGAGTGCAAACGTGTACGGTAGCCTGGCAGCGAGGACGGCAGTTGCAAATGATTCCAGACTCACAACCTCGAGACCACCTACCTCTTTTTTTACGATCGGCTACGAGATGCCAACCTGCGTTCATCACAACCCACGCCCTCGCTGGGACTACACGAAGATGACACAAGCACTTCAGAGCGGCGTGGGTAGACTCGAATTTCATCGCGATCTAGATAACCGAATGGCAAGTATCACAAATCAGCTAGCGGAGTACCCAGAGTTGGCTCGCACGGATTATGACTACGATATGTGGCCAACGACCCTGCTCGAGACAGCCCAGGACCATTTTGGTGAACGAGGCAGTCGACCAGACCATGCAGAAGTGAAACAATGGCGTGACGTTAGGCTCGAGAAACTTCACGAAAAACGGCAGTACCGAGATCATCTTGCCCACCAGCGGCAGGAGTACGGACAAGTT